TTGTGCTTGCCCCATGACACCAGACCGGCCACCTCCCTCCTGTAGGCTGCTTGGTCCCCACCAGTGATGCAACTTATCACTGCAGTGTCATCCGCGAACTTTAGGATGATGTTGTCTTTGTGGGAGGCGACACAGTCGTGGGTGAATAGGGTGTAGAGCAGGGCTGTCCAATACGTCGATTGTGATTGACCGGTCAATCGCTAAGGTAGTGTCAGTAGATTTCATGTCAATATAATGAGCTTAGTTAATGCTTTAAAACAAAAAATGCAACATTTTGCCGAACTTCCAAAACCTTGCATCAGAGCTAGAGATGCAATGGAAAGCATGTGCACAACTTGACATTGTGCGCTACAGAAAGCAGATTGACAACTGTTGGTCAGAGTTTGACAAACGCTTTCAAGACTGTGCCTCACTCGAGCCAGTCTCTACATTTATGTGCTACCCATTTAGGGAAGATATTGAAGCTGATTCACTCGCATCAAAAATTGCAATGCTGTTTCACCTGAACTGGTCAGGAGTGGAGGATGAGATATTGACACTACAGACTGACATTCAGCGGAAGTCCAGGGCCAATGGGCCATTTTGGAACTTGCAGAGGAAAAGTACCCAAACATGAGGAAATGTGCCATTGACTGCATTATTTGGCTCTACTTATTTATGTGAGTCAGCATTCCCACTGTCAGGGAGGCGACAGTGGTGCAGTGGGTAGAGCAGTCGTCTCCAACCAGAGGTTTGAAGGTTCGAATCTCGGTGCCTGCAGTCCACATATCGAAGTGTCTTTGGGCAAGACACTGAACCCCCCCATTGCCCCCGATGGTTAGAGCCATTGGTTGAGTTGGTGCTGCAGATGGCTGCCATCAGTTCTGTACCGGAAACAAATTCCTTGTGTATAATATACTTGGCCAATAAAGGTGATTATCCTTATCCTTATTTTCTCACACGGAGATTATTAAGTCCTAATACTGCTCCACCATGATTGATGACCATTTGGAAGTCTGCTGGAGGCTGGCTACCAGCAGCTACTGTCTGGACTATGCAGCCCTGGCTAATTCCATTCAGTGCAAGTCATCAGAGTAAACTAATGACCAAAAAAGTAATGAACTGTAGTGCGCCTTAAGGTTCATGCAGTTATGCAAGGTGCGCCAACATATATTGTGTTTACATAAGTTATACTCTGTATATAACTAAATATATGTTTAGTATTTTAACTGTAGGTAGATTATTTTGACTTGGTCATTTGAAAAGTAGCTTGCAAGGTGCAAAAGTGTGGGCACCCCTGGTGTAGAGAATGGGACTGAGGACACATCCCTGTGGGGTGCTGATGTTTGTGATAATGCTGGCTGAAGTCCTGTTGCCAATCCTGACAGTCTGGGGC